TTGCTCAGGCTGGTTTCGAACTCCTGAGCTCAAACAATCCGCCCGCCTCGGCCTCCCAGAGAGCTAGGATTACAGGCGTGAGCCACCGCGCCCGGCCTCCCCTCTCCTTTTATCACGTTCATTGGGGGTGGGGGAGGCACTTGACCTTGCTAGAACCCAGTGAGTTAATTTAAATTATCTCTGAATTCCATACCAAAATCAGTTTGTTTGTTACGCAAAATAATAACTACTTCAGGCAAAGATGTTAAATGTAATGAATGGAAACATGTGAATACCTATTATATATAAGGAGCTGTGCTACTTGCAAAAAGAGACTATGCAGGGAATTTTTGTGCCACTGTCTCTTACCTTAGGACCTTTCCACATGCTGCTCTTTAGCCCTGACACCCTTTCCCTCAATTCTGCCTGGCTAATTGTCCTTTCGAACTCAGATCAGAATTTGCCTCAGTGAAGACACTGTCTTTGACTATGCTCCACCCAAAGCTGGAAAAGGAACTTCCTTCAAAGTGTCCCAACAACACTGTGTTTACTCACATTACTGCAAAATAATTAACATTCTGTATCGTATTATCTGATTCTCTAAATAAAATATAAACTCCCCAATGCACAGACTGTCTTACTCAATGTCATATTCATAGGGTATAACTCGGGGGGGGAACCTGTGGCCCGAAGGCCATATGTGGCCTTCTAGGTCCTTAAGTGTGGCCTTTTGACTGAATCCAAATCTTACAGAACAAATTCTTTCATTTTTATTAACATATTTTTGTTCATCTTTCATCTTTTTATTTTTAAAATGAATGCATTTGAAATACCAAAGAATAAAATAAGTTTCAATGAAATAATCCCTCCAAGCTGACCAGCACAATTAGAACATTAGTAAGCCATATGGGCTAAATTGACTGTTGCTGTGCTCGTGATTTAGTTCTAACTTCCCCCACCTGACTGGCATCACTATTGCCCAAGGCTGACTGGTAAGAGTTTATGGGGGTCGGGTGAAGTCTGCTACTAGTTTTTGACAATGGTGCACTGTGTTTCTGTTTGAAGTGGAATTTGTGAATAGCTGCATGGCTTGACAGTATTTTTTAATTCTCTCTGCTTAACGTCAGGTCTCCCTGTCATGCCAAAGATGATCAAGAGAATGCTGAAGGAAGAAAACAGATTTTTTAATGAGGATTGGGAATTGCAATATTATCTTGATTTGCTTGCTTTGTAATACTGCAATATCAACATTAAAGAAATTCAATGCTCTTCAGCATTGTAACACTCATAAGGACAACAAATATTTTAAATTAGAGTGAGAGCTGCGAAGGTTGTATCGCAGAAATTAAAAGATAAAAAGCAAAAGCAAAAACAGTCTTTTAAGCAGCAATAAGACCTGGAAATAATGCCACTGAAGCAACTTATAAAGTAGCTTATGTACTAGGGGAAAAAGGAAGCCATTTAGTAATACAGAAATTGTAAAAGAATGCATTGTCAAACTGGTAGGATGCTTAGACTCTGATAATGTTTCAAAGTTCAAACAACTGCCTCTTTCAAGGTGAACCATAACTGATTAGAAACATGAATTAGCCTTCAAATAACAGAACAACTTCGTGTAATACTTCAAAAGGAAAATATATATTATTCAATTGCTTTGGATGAATCAACTGATGCTACTCACTCGATGCAGGTTTTATACTTCATTTGGGTCATAACAGAAAATTTTCTTTGTATGAAGTTACTCACTTCGGGCACTCTTGTGAACAGAACATGGGGAATAGATATCTTCAACAACTTTCAAGATAAATGTAGTGAAGTTGGACTGAATTTGGCAAATTTAGTGAGTGTATGTATAGATGGTGCACCTTCCATGACAGGAAAACATGAAGGGTTTATTGCATAGATAAAAAGAAGTAATAATAGATTCAGATGCTCTCATACATTTTCACTGTATCTTGCATCAGCAAAATCTCTGTGCTAAAGCTACTATTTTAAGTGACAAGTTATAAGTATCGTTAATTATATTCATGCAAATGCAACAGAGCATGGTCAGTTTTGTAACATGCTGAAGTTGAATAATGAGGTACTCAGAGTGGATTTGCTGTATCATTCTAAAGTGCGTTGGCTATCGCAGGGACAGGTGTTCGCCAAAATTTTATCTCTGCAAGAACAGATAGTTAAATTCTATGAAGAACAGAATCAGCAATGTGAATTATTGAAAGAAGATTTCTATAGCAATGTAGCATTTCTATGTGATGTCAAATCAAATCAAAATGACTTGAATATTTCTTCGCAAGGTAAAACTAAGTCTATATATGATATGTGGCAAAAAATCCAAGCATTTCAAAAAAAGGTATCTTTTTTTAAAACAATTCTTCAAAAGAAAATTTCAGATGAACATTTTCTCCAGTTAGCAAAGATCACTGATGAGCAGGATGATATATGCAAATCATCTGAAGAATACATAGCTGTTATAGACCTATTAATTGGAGAATACAATGAAAGGTTCACCAACTTTGAGAATCATGACATCACACTCAAATTAGCATTTCAGCCTTACCTGGTAGATACCACCAAGGCACCTAAAGAACTACAGATGGAACTGATTGAGCTTTCAGTAGATGACATTTTGAAGTCATTGTTTGATGCTAAGAAAGATCCAATTGAAATATGGAAAAATGCAGTAGAATACCTACGCCTTTGGCAACATGCCTGAAAAATGCTTTCTTGCTTTTCAACCGCTTATTGCTGTGAATCTACATTCTCCTACCTAACCCAAATCAAGGTACCCTTAAGGTCACAAATGACTGATACCCATCTAGAGAATCAACTGAAACTGCAGACCTCCATTCTAACCAAATATTCAAATGTTTTCCAACAAAAAGCAGACATAACAAAGTCATTAAAAGGTTATTTAACTTTAAAATTAACAAATACTTTTCATTTTTTGAAATTATTAAGTACATAGTAGTTAGATTTTTACAAAATAATGT